CTCAACTCTAACTGCCTGGATGAAATATAACCAAATCTAACCAAATTCTTACATGCCAGTTATATTAAGTGTATGTCAATTAACATGGTTTTTATTAATTAACTTGATTTAAATTCAATTGTGGTGTGTACCAAAAATGAAAACAGTATCTTTCCCACAGGTGCATTGAAATGTAATTTAAATAGCAAAGTCATCAATGATATTTATCATGATGCAAGGTGATCTTAACACCACTAACTTCTGAATCAGTAGTCCTGTCATTGATTGGTCAAACCACTGACTTTCTTTAACATAGGAAGCACAGGAAGTATAGGATCAGTGGCCAGCTCTGCCAAGCAGCTTGTTAGAAAACGAAGTTATTGTACAGCAACTAGAGCAAATAATTTTGTTTGTAAACCGAATTGTTCTTAAAACAGAGATATTTGTAACTTCAGTTATGACTGTATTAGATTCAAATATTATTCATAAGAGGAAAAACAAACAGCACTCCTATTATCATGACAGTATGCAAACAAAAATGTACATTCATTTACAAAATTATTAGGTGAGAGATGGTGAGATAAGTGTTTGGATATTTTTACCTTCAGGACTTCACAATACTCTCTTTAAATTTAAATATAGCAAATTATGTACTTGAAACACAAGTGATTTTTCTCAATGCCTCTCCCATACATGCACATACACACAAAACATCTTTGATGTTATTCATTGTAAAATACAGATTAGTTGATGCTTTCTATAAGCATCACATCTACCAAGAAACTAGCAGTTTCCAAGAACTATCAGGATTTGCCATGTAAAAGCATTTAGTGTTTAATTCAAATTAATAATAATAAGCTTCTTTATGGGAAACTGCAATATTAATGCGTAATAATAATAATAATAATAATAATAACAAACACTGCACATTTAACCAATATCTAGCAAGAAGAAACTACAAGAAAGCAAAAGTTTTCATCCGTGTTTAATGGACATTGTCAATCTTACTCAACAGTTAGCCTGATGATGCCCGTTAAACACAGATGAAAATGTTTGCCTTCTTGTAGTTTCTTCATGCTAGATATTAGTTATATATGCTGTGTTTATTAACATATATCCAGTTTTCAAGTAGTTGAATTAACAAGAATAACTAAAATATTGACTGAAAATCTGAAAATTCATCAATTTGCTAAAAAAATCTATCCAGGGTTTTCACAGCTTGGTGACCTTCACTGAACTAACAGGAACTGAATATCACTTATGGTAGCTGTTATTACGTTCTATGAATGTATGTCTCTTTAATCCAAATGACTATTAAGTGACTGAAGAGGGCTGTGCATTTAAATAAGCCTGAAATGCATATGAGAAAACAATAAAAGAAGTGTCTAACCTAAAAGCTGTAATGATAGTCTATTGAACTTAATAGTCATTCGGATTAAAGAGACATACATTCATATAACAGGAACTGACAGGATATCTAACTTTTCAAGCCTTGTAATGACTTCTGAAATACAACAGTGTCAAATTCCTCTTTAGTACAGCATTTTATATCACAGAATTTATTAGAAAAAATTTACCATGTTCATTCTACTTTACATCTTCCTTATAATACTTTATATTTTAAAAATTTACAATACAAAACAAGCTTGCTCTTTAAATATATATAAAATATATATAAATTATATATATATTGGAAGAATCTCTTCTATTATATATAATTTAATAATAATAAAGACAGAAATATTAACAAAGATAAAAATGCTAATGACTAATAATTCAATCAGTAAGTACCTGACAGCAACTGTATTGCATGCTCTATCAACAGGAAACATGTAGCATGTGTTACACTTCAATGCATTAAAATAAAAAATATATATATTCAATTCACAGAATTTAATTTTATTTCTTTTGATTATAATAATAATTATTATTAGAAATATATTTTAATAAAAAAGATGTTTTAGATCAAATAAAATATATTCATTATTAAAATAATTACTTTGTTATCTATTTAAGTAAGTCTCAGTTCAAATAGTAATAATACTTTTTTCATTGGAAATTAACTTAAATCTATACTCTTCATATGATAACAATGTATCAATAAAAATTCCCAAAATCTTATTTTGCCATAATACATGTTTTGATATTAAAAACTGCACTTTAACTTATATAATTTTAGAGTTATTATTCATCAAATAAACAAAATGTTTTGAATAAATTCAACATATTAAAATAGAATTCATTTATATTTCTTATTATTATTATTATTTATCTTTAATGCTAAATTTAAATCTGATCTAATGAACAGTTTTATTAATGTTGCTTTTTTTTACCACCGTATTAACATATAGTGACACGGGTAAAATATATTGCACTGGGACATATTAAACGTCAATCATACTGACAATGAATTTATTCTAATTAGCACATCAATATTTAAATAATACTGAAATGAGAGTAGACTATTATTTTTGTTAAATATATCTCATATAAATGATGTCACCCTTTCTTGTCATATTATTTGGCTAACTAAAATCAAACCACATTTTTTTCAAACTGCAGTATGAATCATTTTTGAGAAAAACAATAAAATAGTTTCACAAACAAAACAGTTGCAAAAATAAACAGCTACACCTAAATTTATTATTATTTTTTATAATATATTGTTGTAAAACTAATTTTTATAATTGTTATCACTTTGCACTGTTCAAAATGATAAGTATAATTGGAAAAAATAAACTAAGTATTCATATATTTAGTCAGAACAAACATAAAAGATATTATTTTCTTATGTAATTAAAAAATTACTCATATTTATACTGTTTCATAGAAACAATATCCAGGGCACATAACAAAGTCCATTGTCATGAACCCTTAAAGCAGGGGTGGCCAACCTTTTGCATACCATGCGCCAATTTTTTGATAGACGAGTTCAGATGCGCAGTGGTGTACCGTGAGTGTTAGCAGCCCGGGGCGGAGAAAAATTTCGACCACCCGTTAATTAGGTATTTCAATTTATAAGAAGAAACTATTTATAATCTATAATTTATAAGAGAACTATCTTACATGGGTAGCTACACTACCCGTATAAAGTAGTTCTATATGACATCAGTGGTGAACACGAATGCATAGTTTAACGTAGAAGCAAAAAAAAAAAAAAAAAAAAAAGGTCAACAGCTCGATTGCATGTAATCATTATTGTAATGAAGCCGAATCTGGCAATGTTGCTCGGAAATGACTGAAGCGCCACTTGTAATCGTCCAATGCGCCAAGTTTGGCGCGTGCGCCACGTGTTGGCCACCCCTGCCTTAAAGCCTCACTTAACAGCACTTAATTGTAGTTATACCATTGGTTAAGATTACAGGGAATCAATTCAGATTTTTAATCATGTGCTGTCTTAATATGGTAAGAAGTCCTGTAACTGTTTTCAAAATGTTTTCTCAGATAAACATTTAACTGATGCACCAAATTCAGAATGCTTCCAATTTTGTCAAGTTTTTCTGAATTATTCATTCATCTGAGGAGTATCAAGTCTCATCAGCCATTTCATAAATTTATCATGTTTATAACAATTTCATATGATAGTTTAATAATGTATGACAAAACTTTTGGTTCACCCTTTATTTTTCAAAATATTTTGGAGTTATTTTATCCAATCTTCAAATTATAGCAAGGTTGAGGCCAAAGTTTTAGATGCAAAAACATGTATGTTGGATGTTCAGCACCACTTTCCTGTAAGCCTAGAAGTTTGACAATGGTGTTTGGAATGTCGAGCATGATTCCACTGACTATCCAAACACCATTGTCAAACTTCTAGGCTTACAGGAAAGCGGCGCTGAACATCTGACACACACATTTTCGCATTTAAAACTTCGGCTTCAACCTCGCTTATACTGTTAATATTTTAACTTGTATACTCTAAGAATATTTAAATACTCACAAATTAGAAGAACTAGTAGATGTCTTCATTTTTGTTCTTTTCAACATCTCAGGAACACAATATTTACAGTAGTCTCAAATAAAAGGATGACATTGCATGTTGTGTTCTTGAGGATTGAAATGGACAAAAATGAAGAATTTATTGAATCTTCTGTGATTATTTTTATATTTCATTATTGTCCTGTTTTCTATTTTATGAACTATGTACCATGTACCATATAATTATTGGACCTGCCCCAATTAGAAGCAAGTCCAATAATTATAGGTCAGGCGTAAGAGTTTGATTGTTCAGAAATTCAAAGTTGTAAGGTATTGAATAGCAAAAGTCTATTAACAAGGGGATATAATTTGAATTTGGCTAAAGTAACTTTTCATGTGTAATTTATCAAATATAAAATATAATCCAACAGACATGCAACAGGTTTTAGCTAATTAAACCTTTGTCAATGTAAAATAAAGGAACAAATATGTGTGGCAGCATCAACAAAGTAAATTGAATTGAAGTAATTTATTTTTAATTTTCTCTTAAAAGATCCACATGATGAATTTCTTAAGAAAATCAATAAATGTTTAATTCAACAACTAAGAAATGTTTGCTGAATAAATCAATGTCTAAGCAATAAAATGTCTGAAGAGTCATCAGAGATGGGTTTTCAATACGCCAATGCGTTAAAACCGAACGAAATAACCCAAGAAGAGGAAGAACTTTGAACTCATATGCTTCGCCATCTCATCTCAGCGCCCCCTCGAAAATCTATATCGAGCGCCATCTGGTTTGCGATCGTGCAGAAAAACTGTCTTTAACGTCACAACTCTCTCTTACGCCATCTTCATCGGCCAAACGTCCGAAAAATGCAGGAACCTTCAAACGATGGTAAGAAAAATCCCAATCGATATTTTACCCAATTTTATCAAAACAATAATGGCTTGTCGTAACAGTATCCGGGAAAGAGGAAAACACCTTAGCAACAAGCGAACCTTATCATCCAATACAGTGTTACATTACAATGCAATTTTTTAACGTTTTATATAATGATTTGATATCCGAGGATATTTTTAAGTTGAAAAAATGTTATTTTTGTTGATTAAATTAATGTAAATGTTCTTTTCTTACCTGTTAAGACTAATGATAACGCACGAGGGCGTTGTTGTTGTCCTCCATCATGGCCGATTTCGATGCAAACTTTGAGTACGACGCATGTCCTGACGTCATCCTTTCCGTGCTTGGAATGATGGGTGCACGTGTGTCTCACATGGCGGAAAATTCGAAAGAATATATCGAAGTAACAAACAACTTAAGCAAATATTTATTTACGATAAATATTACATATTAAAACTGAATGCATGAAAATTATTTATATAAATCTTAAATTCCGATGAATCTCTTCTGTTATTTATTTATATGTAATAAATAAATTTGATTAAATTAAATTATTTTTTATAATATATTGTTGTAAAACTAATTTTTATAATTGTTATCACTTTGCACTGTTCAAAATGATAAGTATAATTGGAAAAAATAAACTAAGTATTCATATATTTAGTCAGAACAAACATAAAAGATATTATTTTCTTATGTAATTAAAAAATTACTCATATTTATACTGTTTCATAGAAACAATATCCAGGGCACATAACAAAGTCCATTGTCATGAACCCTTAAAGCAGGGGTGGCCAACCTTTTGCATACCATGCGCCAATTTTTTGATAGACGAGTTCAGATGCGCAGTGGTGTACCGTGAGTGTTAGCAGCCCGGGGCGGAGAAAAATTTCGACCACCCGTTAATTAGGTATTTCAATTTATAAGAAGAAACTATTTATAATCTATAATTTATAAGAGAACTATCTTACATGGGTAGCTACACTACCCGTATAAAGTAGTTCTATATGACATCAGTGGTGAACACGAATGCATAGTTTAACGTAGAAGCAAAGAAAAAAAAAAAAAAAAAAAAAAATAAAAAAAGGTGTNCTTGGAATGATGGGTGCACGTGTGTCTCACATGGCGGAAAATTCGAAAGAATATATCGAAGTAACAAACAACTTAAGCAAATATTTATTTACGATAAATATTACATATTAAAACTGAATGCATGAAAATTATTTATATAAATCTTAAATTCCGATGAATCTCTTCTGTTATTTATTTATATGTAATAAATAAATTTGATTAAATTAAATTCTAATTTTTTTAATCCAGTAATTTCTTATTAGATTTTGTTTTTAATTTAATGTAGAGCTTTCAAATTAAAATTTTATCAATTATTTTTCTTCCTTAATGACTTAAACATTGACTTGAGGAAATGAATCATTTTAGTAAATAGTTTACATTTTGTGGTCTCATATTTTCATTCACATGATTTTCTCACAAAGTTACAATAATAATAATAGTAATAATCAATGTAAATTTTAATATAAGCTCGGATGTGATAAAATTCACTCATGAACAATTTCATGAAGATGAAATCAGAATACACTGAAATTTTATCATCAAAAGTCATCTAAAGAAGACATTTTGTCTATATTGAATGATTTAATTGGAGTTTTGTTTTGGCTATCAATAAATCCTAGCATTAATAAGCTGTTATAAAAGACACAAATGGAAAATAAGGACAATATCACAAATCTTATATCTGTATAATTATTTAATTTCAGTCACTGTTCAATCTTAATTGTTAGACGTGTGCACTGCACACCTGCATGTGATATAATTTATTATATTGGTAAGTGTGCTGTGGTTTTGGATTCTAGTTTAAATTGATGTGGCTGCATAAAAAAATATATATTGTATACAATACAAATGGTAAATCCTACCAAAATTCCTTCAATACTTCTGTTTTCATAGACTGAATAAAAGATATAGTAAAACCTGTATAAACCAGAATTGTACAGTACCGGATATTTTTTTTGAACAGGTTCTTTTTTAACAGAAAATCACTCCGATCCAAAAAATTTCCATTTAGGCTGGTTTCTATTTTGGACAGGTTTTGCCATACACTATAATTTAGCTAAGTATTTTAATGTAAATCAGAAGAAAGAAACACTTATGAACCTGGAAATCAGACAATTAATTACTGCATAAATATGGATTTCTCATTATACAATTCATAATCTTATTACACATTTTGTGTCTAGATGCATGTTAGAATTCAGCAGACAACAAACACCAAACACAGCAGACATGCAGAAAGCCATTGTCAAACTTCTAGGCTTACAGGAAAGCGGCGCTGAAC